GAGGTCCGAAGAAAGAGGGACCTCCAATCAACCAGGGAGGTCCGAAGAAAGAGGGACCTCCAATCAACCAGGGAGGTCCAAAGAAAGACAGACCTCCAATCAACCAGGGAGGTCTGAAGAAAGACAGACCTTGAATCAACAAGGGGTCTTCATGCATAGCCTGGCTCAGCCTTTGCGCCAACCCACACTCAGGTTGCAAACAGAGGAGTCCACGCAAAGCCAAACCTCCACACAAACATGGAGGTCTGAGGAAAGACAGACATCCATGCGACCAACCTCCACTGGCTCCATGGAGGGTCTTCATGTTGGTGTTGGCAGGAAGGCCAAGCTAAGCCCGGCTCGGCCTTTACACCGACCCACACCCAGGTGGCACTAACCTAGGTCATTATTCAAGCCCAGGTTTTGCTAACACTTTGCATTATGACAATTTGAGGCTTTGCACAAATTTGGCAAAGCCTCAAACTGTTTAACAAATATTCATCATCATTTTAACTGTTTAACAAGTTCCTTATTCATCCATCATCTAGCGTACCTATGTATGTTAGATGATGGATGGATATTTGTTAAACAGTTGACAATAGAATACGAAACAGAGAATTGTGACAATCCATTTGGCTCTACTACTGTGCAGAAACAACCAATCAAAACCAAAAGTTTGCCCTTTGGTTCTGATTGGTTTCTAATGCGTTGAATGTGTTTCAGCACATTCAACGCATTAGACTACTAGTGTACTGCAGCTATGCAATTGGCAGAAAAACAACCTAACATTATATCATCATTATTTATAGGATGATTTAGAAAACAAAATTCAATACAGGCTTGTCAAAACTATTTCGACCCATATTAGAACTTTGCATTGATTTCCCTTCATTTTAGCAGCTGCGATTTTGCCTAACCCAGACATTTTCCCTAACCCAAACCAATAGTAGTCTATTCCTAACATTAACTAAACCTTATTTCACATCTTACCTCTAAACATTACCCCTGACCCAAAACAATGAATCCATCATATTAGGACAAGTCTTTGGTCCTAATATGGTGGCCCTAACATGACACTGAACCTATAATGGTGCGTTCACACCAGACACATTTTGACCGTCAGGCGCATCTGGTTTACATTCAAACTCTATGTGGAGGCGTGTCGAGGGCCGTTGCGGCTCGTTTCGAGCATCTAGCGCCGGCGGTATTTGAACAGTTTGGAGCGCTTGATGCGTCCAGCGCATCCAATACTTCACATAGACTTTGAATATAAAGCAGACTTGCCTGACGCTCAAAACGTGTTTGGTGTGAATGCACCATTAGAATGTTTAGTTCCTATGGTAACAATGACATAATCAGTGATGACATCACTCTTTGATGCATCAAAGGAATCTCTCTCTTGAGTGTAGCACACAGCCTGTTTGTTCAGACCTATTCCTTATAAGTTAACTTGTAGGTTCCTGTAACTTTTAAGTTATGAATCTTCTACAGGAGGATTAAAATTATTTGAAGGCACAGAATCAGCCCAGTAGATTCACGTTCTCAGGTGAGAGACTCACCTGGTGTAAAGTTAATTTTTCGGTACTGGAATTGCACTGAGGATAAATTACTTTAATCAAAGCATGTCATGAATATATGTGCATATATTCCATCTTAAGTACATAGCATAATAGTTTTTTTGTTGCTTTTTCCACCACTAGATGATCTACCATAAACAGCACTATTCAGAGATGCAATGAGTTTATAGCAGCGGCCCTGATGCCAACATGTCCAGAAAACATATTAAAGATTGTAGGATGTGTTACACACATCAGGGATGTCGGTGTAACAGATGCTGATTTTCCTGTAAAAAGTCTAGAACAGGTAGGAGGGATGAGGCAGAAACAAATCTGTACTTCACTAGTCTATTTAGCAATGAAAACAGATCCTCCTCTCAGATATGTCTCGTTTTCCTCTTCAGCAGAGATTTATGTGGACAGAAACCAGAGCCTGTTTTGCCCTTTACGTCTCACTCATATTCAACATAATGCATTCTGGGTAAAACTATGATAGAACATTTGAATTGCTCGTTCTGAGCTTGGGTTTTACATGATAAGATATGTGAGCAAAAATTACAACCAAGAGGAACGTTTTTCTCCCCTAAAATAGTCTGGAATCAAACCAATATTCAGACACAACATGAAAGTGAAATAAGAAAGAAGCAGAAATCTCCAACTTTTGACAAATATACAATTACATTTGAACCACAACATATTCAGTGGATGAAACAGTGATTGCAACAGATGCATTTAAGCTTATGTTACAATCTGACTGCCTATCTTATTTTAAGCAGACAATAGAGTTGCTGATTGGGAATGTTGATGGTTTGTCTGACTTAGTAAAATGAACCCCCTCCTGTTTCAATTACAGCAAGCAGAAATATCCTATTTTGAAAATTTGTTTTTGTCAATTTGAAAGATGCAAGAAAAGGAAGAGGTAACATTGTGGTATACACATATATATAAATCCCCTTCTCACGCTCCGCAGGTGGTCTCTTTCATCCTCTGAGCTCGGGTCCTCTACCAGAGGCCTGGGAGCTTGAGGGCTCTGTGCAGTATCTTGGGTGTGCCTAAAACTGGACTGAGATGTCTGATGTTGTTCCTGGGATCTGTTTTAGCCACTGCTCCAGTTTGGGGGTGACTGCCCCGAGGGCCCTGATGACCACAGGCACCACTGTGGTCTTCACCTTCCAGGCCTTCTCCAGTTCCTCTCTGAGGCCCTGGTATTTCTCCAGTGTCTTGTGCCCCTTTTTCCTGATGTTGTGGGCGAGACATTAGGAAATGGGCGAGAGGCGAAAACTTGGATCTGTTGGAGTGTATATATATATATATATATATATATATATATATTTTTTTTTTTTTTCAAATTGGATATGAATGCTTATGATACTAGTATCCAGACTCTAAATCAACCAGGATTAATTGTTATTTTCAAAAATAGAGACCCGCAAGAGTCACAGGTCCACCAAGACGAAGACTTGTCTTTATATAAATGCAGTGAGTGGACAATTCTGCAGAACAAAAACATCTATTTCTATGCAGCTTCAACAGTAGGAAACCCTGCCACAGTATAGATGCTTTGTCTGAAATTTCAACATTACTCTTAACTGCTTTGGATACCTGTTCAACCTTTGAGGAATGAACTTTGACCTGGTTTTCTGATGAGAGGTGTTTATTCAGAGAGTTGCTTGTACAAGCCCAGAGAAAGTATGCGTTCAAAATTAAAAGATTTTGTGATTTTGTTTACTTAGACAAGATGATTTAATTTAAATTAATAACATTTAATGAACAAACGGCATAAGACCAGGAAAGACAATGCAGGCTGGTCATAGTGAGCATTGGCAAGAGTAGCACCCAAGAGGCCCAAAATTCTCATACACTCTTCAAACATAAGACAGGCAAGAAGAATGACATAAGACGTATCATCCTCTGCACACCTTGTCCACTGTGAAGCTGGTGGTGGCAGCATCACAATCCTTTCAGGAGGGAATAAAAATGTAAATGTTCACTTATCAGATTTTATTGTTAAAAAAATATATTGAAAACCACTAATCATTTTATTTCAACTTTACAAATATTGGATGTTTTGTGTTGAACAATCCTAAAATAACAACAGAAGAGCTTTTTATTAAGGCACAATAACATCTATGTAATCATTTCTCAAATCCAAAATAAGTGAGTCCTTGAAAAGATCACTCTTATGAGCACCTTTCACAATTACAGAATAAAGTAATGAAAACATTATGAACACAATTCCTCAAACAGCTTCAGCATGCGATCACAGCTGGCTAAACGACTCTCCATATATGAGACTGTGGCCTGACTGGTCACTGTCATAACCAGGAAAGCCACATGACAGCGCTGATGTCTGATGCATAGCTGTCTCGCTGTCGCCCGACATCCTCACCCGAAATAATGATGACCTTTGATTCCCAAAAGATGTCAGGAGACAGGAGGAAAAACTGCAAACGCGGCCAATTAATTTGGGGTGAAGAGGAGTGGAACGAGTGAATGCGTCAAGCAGCTCGAGTTAACGTTGAAGGGCTCCAGGAAAGACAAAGCTCAGGATAATTAGGATTCAGAAAGCCCTTTGTCAAAGATAATTAAAGCTGACAGCCACTGTGGAGTGGAGAGGAAGGAGCAGAAAATCCCTTCAAACTACAGGGCTCACTTTTAACACTCACTCTGCATCATCCTTCAGCCTCTGTCTGCCTCACACACACACACAACCTGCAGTAACATCCATCATCGCTGCTTGTTCTCATATTGCACACAAGGCATTATAAGAGGTGACAGATCAAGTACGCAGACAATAAAAGCTGCTGAGGTTTTTACAAGGAAAGCCTGTTGAGCTAACTGCACATTATTAGAGCTGATAGTTTGTGAAGTGTGCCGACGTCTCACCATCGGAACCTTATTCTGGTTAAAATGATGTCGAAATATCCACGTAATCCAAACACAGCAAATGGAAGTCCTTTCTCCGGTTTAACAATCTTACGTTAGCATCACAAAATAAAATCTGTGAAATGATTTGTTTTATTAGTGACTACAAATGTCTGTTTATTTTTTAAAAATCTGGACTCTTCAGAAAGTTCATACAAACAGTAGACTAAATGGCAGTAGCTTGCAACAAATGACTAATTATTACTCAGTGGTGAGCTATATGAATTACATAAACCCTTTAGTAATTTATTGGCATATTTTTTTTTCTTCCTTTTGCTCCAGATAGTTTTTATTTTGCAACTGCTCTGAAATTAAGAGAAAATGTACCTAGTGAGTTTTAAGATATTTAAATGGATGCTAATTTTGTTTGATTACACACATACAATAAATTATTCATGCCCCTCCAAAATTTTACAAATGCTTCAAATGTTAACACGTGTTGATTTATGCTGCTTTTATTATTTTTTAGCTTATGTTCACATCCCTTCTTTTTACTAATCAGCAGCAGAACCTTTATTTGCCATCAGAGCAATAAACCTCTTATTGTGCTCACTAACAAGCATTATGCATATCGTCACTCTTGTGTTTGTTGGTCGTGTTTTTGTAAACCTACAATTTTGCCAGAAAATTGCAACACAAATTCAGAATAGGTGCTAAACGAGATGTGACTTAATTTGACTGAGAACCAAAGAGCAATGAAGAAGCTGCCAGAAAATCTAAACCTAAAAAAACAACGGGACATGGGACAAAATAAAGCAAAACGGAAACATTGTTATAGTGACCTTTACAAACCATGTTGGACTTGCTTTTTCCTTTAAAACTCTCCAAATTCAATTCAATTCAAAAACAGTTTCTGGATCCCAAAGGAAAATTACCAGAAAATAAACCTGAGGGTGAAAGTAAATATGTTGAAACATAAAGCAATTTATTTTCTAAAGCTTTACTTTTCTTTGTTTTTAAAAGTGAGTTTTTTCTACATTGGCTTATGGTTGAAAATAACTCCTCGATTATGTCATGAAAGCAAAGGAAAACTGGTGAAACAGTAACAGAGTCACAGTCAGCGAGGAGAGTAGGTATAGGGGAGTCGAGACGCTTATGTTTTAATGCTTTTACATTCATTCAATTTTTTTCTCAGTC